TCAGGGGCAAAAACCGTTAGAAAGCGGAGTGTCAACAGTCTCAGGGGCTGCACCTAGGGATTGGGCCTGCCCTCTGCCACCCGGGAGCAGGCCTAAGCCAGCAGGTTGTTATCTCCCGAGGGGTCCCAGACTGTGAGAGGGCACAGGCTGGGCTGAGGGACCCCCCACCCCACCGAGTGCACAAATATTTGTGCACTGAGCCTCTAGTGTGTCTACAAACCCAATGAGCAGTGGTGTCACAACATCCTTCCTTCTACTGCCTTGTCTCCAGATGCTGAGGATGATGCATGATTTAAAATGGTTAACAGAGTAAGGCAGGCTTTGATTAATGATGAGAGAACAGATGAACTCTGGTGGTGCTAGAAATGAGGGTCACATGACTGCTTCTGAAGGCCAAGTCACAGATTTAATTTCTTTGTACCTCACCCCTTTTTCCCCGAAACACAGGGCTAAAATGCACTCGATGTCCCTGTACCTGTAAGGTGGCTTTCACCAGTGGCTTCAGTGGGCTTCTGCCTGGGCCTGCTAGTGACGTGTGGCTGGCCGTGTGCTGGCCCTGCCAGTTCTGCTCCCGCAGTGGTTCCCTCCAGGGTTTGGTGTTGGTTATCGGTGCAAACCAGGCGATACCAGGGCCACGATGATTGAAGTTTTCCTTCTTAGGACCAGACTTCACATTTTCCACAGGAACAAACCATGAAACTTCTATAGGAAATATTTTTAAGAAAGGAGATTTTTCACATTTCTCATAGACATGTGCAAAGGCTCTCAGCAGATTTAGCTGTTAGAGGCCATCATGATGCCCAGGAGTCTGCTTAACTGCAGGAATGACTCTAACTGTAGTGCAGGGGGTGGAGGTGGGGTCAACACAGGGTCACTTAGAAAAAATAATCCGAGCATAGCTTTTCTGCTATAAAACCGGGAATTAGAAACTGACCTTCACAGCAACTCTGCTTATTCTTCTTTAACTTTTTGTCTCCAAGATTTCTGGTAAGGAGCTTTTCTTCTTCTACTTTTTCTTCTGACCAAGAAGTCACATCACTGTCCTCTTCCACATTAACTTCACTAAAACTTGGAGTTGGGAAAATCACCCCAACATCTCGAGTGTTTTTTTTGACACCATTCACAATCTCCAAGTTTCCTGAGGGGAAAGATCACAGATGTCTCTGGGAGCAGCCTTGAGACTTAGTTGGCAGGTAATATATTCAAATAAGTAAATGAAAAGTTTTTAAGGCTTCAAAAATGCAGGCTATGGCCTTTGTTGGGTAGGTTGGAGTGTGTAAGGGGGAAGAGAGGAAGGGAAGAAAGGTGGTAGGGGGAGAAAGGGAGGGAAAAGAGAAGAAGAAAAAGGGAAGGGAGAGGAAGAGAAGGGGAGAGGAAAGGAAGGGGGGACAAGAGAAGGGTTTTTATCTCAAAGTCAGTTTAGATATTAGAGGGAAAGAACTACTAATATCAATTCAGTTCTGATCCCAAGTAAGAAAGACAGAAAATGCTTCTAGTCCTCCTGGAAGTCACCTAGGTAAGGAAGAGGTTGACAGATGTAAAGGCATGACTTGGGAAAGAAAAAGTCAATGCAGAAGTTTATTTTTGTTTTATAAAATCAAAAGATATAAAAAGACATAAGATGAAAAGTATCCTTCCCACTCCTATTCTCCATTCACCCAGTACATAACCCCATTATTCCAGAGAATTTTCTGTGTACTTTCAAACAATTCTCTTATTTATTTATTTATTTACGTATGTATGTATGTATGTATGTAATCCTCACCAGAGGGTATTTTTCCATTGATTTTTAGAGAGAGTGGGAGGAGGGGATGAGAGAGAAAGAGAGAAATACTGATGTGAGAGATACCCATTGGTTGCCTGCCATACACTGGATTGAACCTGCAACCCAGGTATGTGCCCTTGACCAGGAGTCGAACACGAGACACTTGGTGCTTGGACTGATGCTCTAACCACTGAACACACCAGCCAGGGCTCTTCCTTATTTTTTAAATACATGTAGTAGCATGCTACACACTGTTCTGTACATTATCTTTTCTTTTTAATTATATGTCATGGAGATTTTACCATATTGGTAGAGACACCTTTGTCATCCTAAGTAGGATTTCATTATATAGATGTACAGTAATTTATTTAACCATTTGGCTATTGATGAACATATAAATTGCATTTTATTTTCTGCTAAACAATACTTCAATTAACTATATGGTTAATTCTACACACTTGTCATTTTGCACATATAATGCACAGTATATCTAAAGGCTAAATTCCAAAAGTCAAAGTGAGGGTGAAAGAAATTTTGATAGAAATTGCCAAATTGCCTGTCATAGGGGTTATACTTCCAACTTATACTCCCACTAGAATGTATGAGAGCACTTATTTCTTTAGACTCTTGCCCACATACTTGCTATGAAGCTTAGATTTTGGCCAATCTGATAGGTGAGTAATGACATTTGAGTATAGTATTAATCTTCATTTAGTATCATGCCGAGTATCTTATATTTAAGAGCTACTTGTATTTTAGTGGAAAGAAATGTTTAAATTCAAGTAATTTACCTGCTTGCACGCCCTTGTTTAACATATGTGCATTTTGTTTGTCGTAAAGGGTAGAGTTTGAGCTCCAGAAATTACCGGTAGAAGACGAAACAGAGTCAGAAGAAATCATTTGGTTTACCACCTAGAAAAAACAAGAGACCCTGTTGTCATTACCTGCAGTCAATGGCACAATTACCCACAGAATAAGAAAATAGTCACCAACCAAAGAGAGCCCTTTCTTATCCAATTCAAATGGCTGAGATGAAGTTGTGACAGTGTGAGCATGCTACCACAGGATTTATGACAGGGAAGAGAATGCTGCTGTGGTTGAATAAGGGCTTGGGCTGTTTCCTGAAGGTAAGAACACACAGACAAACAGACAAACTGGGTGTATTCCTAGGACTTGAGAAAATGGAAGAAGGTGTTAGCCAAAAATCAGCCTGCTCAGTCTTCAGAATGAAATTTTGACTGGACACCTGCCTAAGTTTTGATGAGAGAGGAGAGGGCCAGGGGTAATTACAGAGAGCGATGAGCAGCAGAGTGCTTTCTAAGATCAGGCTCAGATACTCACACGAGGGTAAACGCTGCAGAGCTGAAAGGCCCCCGAGAAGTCCTGAATGAGTGCTGCAAAAAGCCTTAAAAAGCCCAAAAGGCCTTTTTAGTTAAGTTCAGAGCAAGGAGAGCAATGAAGGTTGGAAAAATTCATGGGTTTAAGGTGATGGTGGAATATTAGTGGGTGACAAAAATATTATCAAACTGTAGTTGAATAAATACAGTATAAAATAGTATTTCTTAAACTTGCCTATCGCAACAATCCCCTTGGGGAGTGGTCCTGACCCAGAACGATGAGTTGAATCTCACTGGGAGGGAAGGAACATCTTGCTCATCTCCTTAAGCAGGTTTGGTAGAGGTAAACTGAAGACCAAGTCAGGAAAGGAAACTGCAGGTACTTGCTCCCCTGAGCTAGATAAACTAAACTACATTCCAGGGACTTCAGGAAACTTAGCAACAGAATCCTGGAGGAGGGAGCTATATTAGATGTCCCGAGCCAGGAAATGTTGTAATTGGTGGGTTTAAAACTAATGACCTGAAATATTTTAGAATGGATCACCAATCTGATAACTTCAACGAGGGCTCGTAAGGCAGGCAGAGCAAGCCCTGCCAGGTTAGCCTCATTTCCCCTAGTAGACATGGTCACTAACTGGCAGACAAAAGAATTGTAGTAAGTACATGATTTGAACAAATGACAGAAATTCTCATGACATCTTTGAGGGCAAAATGGAGTAATATGGGCTGAATGGTAATATAATATTCTTATCAACACAGCAAGAGGCCATTACTGAGCGACAGATCTCGCATTCAACACAAACATTTACTCAGCACTTTCTGGGCGGCAGTCACTTGGTTTACTCTGGCTATTCCTTAACATTTTACATATCAGTGTATTGGAGATATGGGAAGCAGATCTCCCCTACAATGCACATCTGGGAGGGCCTAAATGGTTGCCACAATCCCAAATAACAGGAATAATAGGCCAAATCAAACAAAGGTTAATTGCAAAGTCCCACACGTTAGGCAGGAGGAATGGCAGAAACTTGGATGCAGTAGAAAAAGCTCTGGGTCTGAAGCCCAAGACCTACGCCAGTCTCAGATCTTCCCTTCACTGTTTCTACTCGAGTAAGCCCTAACCTCTCTGCACCAGTTTCCCATCTAGAAAGGGAAACTACATATCTGAAATCATCCAAGTGTTAGAAAGAACAAATGATTTACATTCTAAACAGTAAAAAACAAAACTATGAATTATGTTAAAAAAAAAGTAAGCTCAGAAAAGGTGGTGAAGATGTGACTGACCAGCAGACACACCTTTTCTGCAACTGTAAAAGAAAAAAAAAGCAGCAGCAACACTTTAGATACTGAAACAGACTGATTCTCAAGATAGATTATTTACTTTACAAAATGTAAAGCATGCTGCCATTTTTGTGAAAAAGGGTATAAAACATATGCAGGTATTTGCTTTTTAATATATAAAATAGCTATGAAAGAAAAGAAACCGGGTTAGAAAGGGAGAGATAAAACTTTTTATTTGCAAGATGGCATGATCCTATCTGTAGAAAATATGAAGGAATCCATAAGGAGGTACTAGAATTAAAAAAAGTTTAGCTAGAGGGCAGAATATAAGATCAATAAGAAAAAAATCCATTGTATTTTTATATTTAGCAATGAGCAATTGGAAATAAAATCAAGGAAACAATTCCATTCATAATATCATCAAAAAGAATAAAATATTTAGGAATAAATTTAGCAGGAGGGCAAGCTTTGTACTCTGAAAACTATAAACCATTGATGGAAGAAACTAACAATCTAAATAAATAGTGAGATATTCCACATATATAATTTAAATGTGGGTAAAAGACAGACATTACACCAAAGAGATATGAGTGACCAATAAGCATATGAAAAGATGTTCAACATCGTCAGTCATTAGGAAAATGTAAATTAAAAATCACAATGATTTCACTTTATATCCACTAGAATAGTTAGGATAAAAAAAAAGATGGATAATACTAAGCGTTGAGAAGGAAGCAGAGAAACTGGAACCTTCACATATTGCTGATGGGAATGTAAAATGGTACAGCCACTTTGGAAAATGCTTTGGCATTTTCTTAAAAATTAAACATAAACTTAACATATTACCCAGCAATTCCACTCATAGATACGTACCCCAAAATAAATGAAAGCCTGTCCACACAAAAATATTTACACAAATGTTCACAGCACATTATTTATATTATCCCCTCAAATTAAATAATCCAAATGTCTAACAACTGGTAATTGGATAAACAAAATGTGGCCTCTATCATATAATGGAATACAAACATCAATAAAAAGAAACTACTGACACAAATTACAACATGGGTGAACTTTGAAAATATGCGAAGCAAATGAAGCCAATGCAAAACTCTACATATTACATGACTGTATTTGTATGGAATGTCCAGAAAAGGCAGGGGTGGGGTAAAAAATGTCTGGGGTTGTAATGCAGATTGATTGTAAACAGTTGTACAAGGAACCTTTTTGGGGTGACAGAAATGTTCTAAAATGAAATTGTGGTAATAATTGCACAACTCTGTAAACTTACTAAAAATAATTGACTTGTACACTTTAAATAGATAAATTTTATGTTATCTAAATTATACTTCAATAAATGTTTACAAAACAGGAGCGGGAAGGACACTATCAAATACTCTTTTACACATTTTAAATTTTGTATCATGTGATTGTATAACTAGTTTAAGAAGTGAGAATAAAATAAAACTTTACAGAGAAGAGTGTAGCAATAAAGGTCTAATGGCTCTGGTGAGTTCAACGGGAGTAAAATGTTAGGTCACAGAACTGTTCTAGCCACAGAGAAGAAGGTGATTGATGTGTCAACACGCTCTATCTGAAGTACATGCAGCATGCTTAGTTCAGAGACGTTTCCAAATAGGATACTGACAAACTTCATAGACCCAGGAAAGCTGCCCTCTTGGAAAGGGGAGTAGAAAGCATGACCTGGGAGGAATAGTTCAAAGAGTGAAGATCAGAAAGAAAACAAAAGAAAATAAAAGTACTTCAGGGAAGGAAGAGGGGACCCACGAGGTAGAAAATTAGATCTACTTTCTGTGCCTTTGGAGTGCAAAACTGGGAACAGAGCCAGGATATCAATGGAGGCTGATCTTGGATCTTTGTAAGTTACATCCTTTAAAAACTGGAGCCTTAGACAAATGGGATGAGCTGCCCATGAGCAGTGAGTGGAGGAGCTGTTGAAGCAGAGGCTGGAGCATCTTTTGGTACAGGTGAGGCAGAAGTGTTAATGATGGTCCCTCCCAACCCTGAGTCTGAACCTCCTGGTTCCGAAGCACACACCCAGTCCTGATATGCTCCACTGGTGTGAAAGCACATTTACATCTGATTACATGAGAAGACTTGGTGTGTGTGTTTCCATTTCTAGGGTAAGTCCCTGCCTAGAAAAAGGTTAATATTTAAAAATAGAAAGTAATCTAAAATAAATTTCCTTTCAACAAAACATACTTAGTTAGCCCTCTAGAATGGTGAAAATAAAAACATACAAAAGCAAGTGTTTTCAAGGATGTGGAGATATTGGAACTCTCATACATTGCTGTGGAAATGCAAAATGGGGACAATACTTTTGATAACGGTTTAGTAGTTCCTCAAATGGTTAAACATAAAGTTATACATAATCCAGCAGATATCCACTCCTAAGCATGTGCACAAAACAAAACACATGTCCACACAAAAACTTGCCCATGAAAGTCCACAGAAGTTTTGTCAATAGCCAAAAAGTTAAAGAAATACAAATGTCCATTAACTGGTAGCTGGATAAATAAAATGTGGTGTATTCATATAATGGAATGGTATTAGTCTATATAATAAAAGGGTAATATGCAAACTGACCCTAACAGCAGAACGACTGGGAATGACTGGTCACTATGACGCAGCACTAAGGATATCTGACTGCAGCTTAGGCCTGCTCCCCGCTGGGAAATAGACATTCCCCGAGGGCTCCCGGGGTGCCAGAGGGATGTCTGATTGCCAGCTTAGGCCCAATCCCCCGGGGAGCGGGCCTAAGCCAGCAGGTAGTCATCCCTCGAGGGGTCCCAGGCTGTGAGAGGGCACAGGCCAGGCTGAGGGACCTCCCCCATCCCCCCGAGTGCACAAATTTTTGTGCGCTGGGCCTCTAGTCTCTGTATATAAAACCCTAATATGCTAATAGACCAAACGATAGAACAGAACCGGTTATGACGTGCACTGACCACCAGGGGGGCGCATGTGGAACATGGTCAGCGTGGCAGCAGGTGGCAGAGCACGGAACATGGTGGTCGTTGGCCATGGATGGGATGGTGGAGCAGGTGAGCGGGGTCGCCAGACCAAGGTGGGGTACCGGTTGTTGTCATTGGGCGAACCTCTGGTGGTTACTGAAAATTCTTTGTTCCTGCATGCCACATTCCCACCCAACCCTCACACCTGTTGCCAGTGCCGGCCCCAATCGCTCAGAGCCATCAGTGGGTGTGAGTGGCGGCTGCCAGCCCTGATTGCCCCTGAAGGTTTCCCTACCTCCCCATGCTCCTAAGGGGCAATCAG